TTTTCACTGTTAACTCGGGTCATGCATTATTTGAATTGAATGAATAATAAATAAAGTTTAAACAATACAAGATGTGATTCTCTTTTATACGAATAAATATTAAATGTTTCTGTTAAATAGGCAGACGAAGCGTCGTTGAGAGGAGGAACCGAGTGGGTTTCTGTGATCTTCTCCTTCTGACTCATGTCTCTCTGACATTTAGACTTCAGAACTTAGCAGGATCTCATTTTGCTGGAAAACTCCAAGTCTGTTATTTGCATATTTAAATCATGTGGAAGCGCTCATTTTCAAAGGGCAGAATTCTGATTCATTGCCTCGTGATGTATTTTTGAAAGTATGTAATCACTTTCTATGCCAGTAATTTATAAATGCGTGTTTGGTGAATTATTCTAGTTGGTGAGCTGACTCAATCGCTGTCTTGTGCTTCTGAGTCAACAAGAAGCAACAATAAGGTGATTCCAGCTTTTTACAAGTTCTGTTTTAGTTTAAAATAATCTTTTATACCATCAGAGACTTACGGGAGTCAGTTAAAGTGTTACAAAATAAACCAGGTTCTCAATTTGGAAGGGGTCCACAGTCTCAAAGGAAAGGAACACAGTGTAGGGAGACAGTTAGCATGTTAGCATGTTCTCCTCATGCATGTGTGGGTTATTTCCAGGTTTCTTCCACAGAACAGAAACATACATGTTAGGGCAACTGGAGACTGCTTGTCTCTGCGTTCCTGTGTCCCTGTGGAGGACTGGAGACATGTCTCACCCTTAACGGTGAAACGGTTTAGGAACGCTGGACAAATAAAATTTAATCTTTGCAGCTAGAGACACTTTTTAGGTTTATTTTGGGGCCTCACCTGTTGGATTTATCTTTACTTTTTTAAACTTGTAGACGGACTCAGCCTGAAGAAAAAAGGCAATTATGTTTTACGTTTGCTGCAGATGCGTATCAAAATTACATCTTAGCTTTAGAAAGCATCTGAGGAGACAGAACCCTCAGGAGGTCACAGCCTAACAGACAAAATAATCGTTTTTTAAAAGTCTGGTGCACTTTCAGGAGCATGTAAACCCACCAAGTGTCCTTCACTCCTGCAGTCATTGACTCTGAAGGTCGGCTGTCTGTAAACTATTAGCTTTGCTTTCATCCTTCAATCTCAGGTAAATTCACAGTCCTCAAGCAGATAAACTGTCGGCACCATCTGCCAAATTCATTAAGGCCAGGCTGTTTATTTGGAGGCTGATGAAAGTATTACCACAGCAGAGGGGAGAAGATAAATCAGAGGAGTGTGTTGATACGGGGAGAGGGTTTTTCTGTGTGACGGTGTTTGGACTGCAGACAAACGTGGATAAACATATTTGTCTGGCTGCGTACGGTCGCTGATGCTGGAGAGGACAACGACGAATCAGAAAACAACAAACTGAGACGACAGAGATGGACAACACACAAGCGTGGTGGCAGAGGGATAAATCCTCAAACAAGACAAGATCAAAGATTTAGAGAGAAAACACAAAAAAGTTTTCATGTTTGGTTCTCAGAAAACTGGAGAAGCTGGATGGAAGTGGATTAGTAAAGCTCTAAGGGAGAGCCCAGCCCCCCTGCAGAGAAAACTCATTTCATCCACGATCTCGTTCTTTCAGTCACTGCCCAAAGCTCGTGACCATAGGTGAGGGTAGGAACGTAGATCGACAGATAAATCGAGAGCTTCACCTTCTGACTCAGTTCTCTCTTCACCACGACAGACCGGTACAACGCCCGCATCACTGCAGATGCAGCACCAGTCCTCCTGTCGATCTCACGCTCCAGCTTTCCCTCACTGGTGAACAAGACCCCCGAGATGCTTAAACTCCTCCACTTGGGGCAGGACCTCATCCCTGACCTGGAGAAGGCATTCTACCCTTTTCTGATTCAACAATAACAACAACAATAACAACAACGACAACAACAACAACAACAATAATAATAATAGCACATTTGAATGTAGCATTAAGAATAAGGTTATTCATGTAATTCAAATAATAATTTAAAATTAAAAGAATTTATCAACTCAAACATTTTGATAAAAAAGCTCAGATGCTTTTATTTTGACGTTTCCGCCATCAAATTATAAACAAGATGAAATTCTAGGAGGAATATCTGATAGTTCAAAGGAAATCCCAGCCTCAGGCAGAACTGGACCTTCGAGGAGAACTAATGTAACCTTCATGAGTCCAAACCCGTCTGCTCAGATTATTCTAACCAGAAGATTTCTAAAAACTTTTGGAGTTGAGCTTCCTTCATCCTCAGATTGGAGACATCTCAGACATGCAGCTCGATACCGGCAGAGTTCACCTGGAATGACCCCCCCCACACACACACACACACACACACACACGCGCGCCACCGGTGGTTTTAGAAGGCAGCTAGGAGCTGCAGCTGAATCTGTCGCTGTAAATAAATAAGTGCAGCGAGTGTTAATGTGGAGTAAGGGATGTAATTACCGTGGGACCGGAGATGACACATTAACAGATGGCACAGGTTCAGGAGCAACTCGGGGAATAAAGCAGCCTCATCTTTTCTCTCTGCCGCTAACACAGTGATTATTCCACAGGAATCCGGCGTGGCCTTGGTTGGATCCCTGCAGAGAAGCATGTTTAGCTGGCTGCTGCTGCAAACGCCCACAAACAGAAAGAAAGTGATTTTATTAGGAGGTCCAGCTGGAAGACGTCAGCATTCAGAGAGAAGCTGCTGTCGGGCGTTGAGCTTTTTTCTCCAGCCGGTTTTCTTTTGGTGGATTCATGAAAACCAGACAGTCAGCCATCAACAGGTGGAGTCACACCTGGGCGAGGTGGTGTTCAGGATAAAAATTCAAGCAATGCAAAAAAAAAAAGAAGAATACATTTGAATATATTATCTCTAAGGGGCGGGGCCAATGCCATTTTGCATATCATGCACCATACTTCCGCTTTAAAACCCAAACGTGGTAGTGAAAGGCAGTATGCTAGGGGTGTAACAGATACCTGAACACAACCCAGCAACGTGGTGTTGGACATCCTCGATTTGTTAAAACATCTGTATAAATGTATATGTATGGTAAAAAATCCATTCAGATACATGTGTACATGTCTACAGTCACATGTGTCGTTGTTATTTAGTCATTTAGTCACGTGCATTTCAAACTAAAGCATCCAGTAAATAATTGGTCCAGCGTCATGTCCACGGCCAAAAACCATCACCGTAGGACGGCTTAAACTGGTAAAACATGTGTAACTGAACATTTCCTAAGAACCCTCTCGGATACATTTGTACACGTCTACTTTTATCTGAGGTTAGTTTGTTACGTCTAATTCAACAAATGTTGTGAATCAGCTGTGAGTGTAGATCCACTGGGAGACATCCTGTATGCCAACTGGTCAGGTCTTACGCCGAGGACCGGGGTTTGAATCCAGGCTGAGACACTCGAGACTCCGACTCACATGGGGTACAAATATGTTTTATTCATTCCACTAATGATGCTTTATTACAGTAATGATGATTTTTTACAGTAATAAGAAGCCTACATTTTAATTATTAAACGTCCAGTAGAGACGTGCTTAAAGACATTCGTGTGACGTCTGAATGTTTGATGTGAACCAGCTGGTTACCACGGTGACCCTGATGAACCACTGTCAGTAGCTTAAACATTTCTGGTGATCTTTACTACTTTTACCTAGTTTATCAAGGAACAGTTGATGCTAACTAGTTTATCACACTGAGTCACAACCATCGACATAAATAGGTCACATGACGCGTGGTATAAAACTGTTTTGTGTTAAGTGTGTTCATTCCAGACAGGAAGTGGCTGCTGGTGTGTATTTAAAGCATGTGGAGGGTTTTATTCCTGCTCTGAGATGAATATCCTCCTCTAAACGCTCCTCAGCTCATGATTGATTGCTGAGCCGCACCAACACACGGCCAGAAAAGCTGAGCCGTTATGGGGGAAGCATCTTATGAGAACAGTAAAGTGAAACCATAAAACAATTCTGCCTTGGTTCCACTCCTCCACTCAGGACCCCAGTCATGCCTGATATTATTTTGCTCCATCTTGCTGTGTGCAACGGTAATTTCTCTGGTGAATTACCACTTTTTGACCTTTCGTGGCATTAAGAAAGGGCACTTTTACGCATAAATTGTGTATCGAGAGCTCCTCCAGCTTCTTTATCACCAAAAGACAGAGAGCAACGACAGCAAGGACGACTTGATAATGAAGTTTTTCGGGCTGGAAAGCAAACATCAGTAATTAAATCCTGTTTGGGCTTTTTCCGTCAGGTTCTCTTCACTCTGGCACTCTCCTCAAGTATCCAACTTGCTGATTAGCTGACGAGATGCAGCTGCCACTCCCTCTCCTGCAAACGGAACACTCAGAGATAGTGAAGATGGGAAGAGTACTCACCGCAACTCACTACTACTACTACTACTACCACTACTACTACTACCACTACTACTACTTCTACTACTAGTACTACTACTACCACTACTACTACTTGTACTACTAGTACTACTACTACCACTACTACTACTACTACTACTAGTACTAGTACTATTAATATTACTACTTCTACTACTATTATTTTTATTTAGATAGTAAAGCAGTGTAATAAAATTATGTAGAAGGAAATACGCTGTCCTGTAAATGAGATTCATCTCATTTAACAGCCTTATAATACTTTTTGTCCCATGTGAGAACGTTAGTTTCAGTCACTTTAATATTTTGTGATTATTGTAGACCTATTATCATCATTCACAGAGACCTGGCGTTTTTGTTTCAAATCAGTATTTAATATATTTTAATATAAACCTATAATCATTAAAACTGTTTGATTTAGTTACCTTTTAACACCAAAGCTTCTTTTTGAACGAAGATTCCTTTTAATGCAATAAAAATTATGATTTTTATGACATTCCTGCAGTTGGATAATTAGCAGCTGTTTTGTGATCTTATTTTGAAATTACCAGCCGGATATGACGCGTCTGTGGGCTCCGACACAGCCTTAAAACGGCGCGTCGTCACCGCAGACGGAGTGAAAGTTGTGTCCGGCATCAGCGGAGCTCAGACCGGACCTGCTGCTCGGATCGTCCCGGAGCCATGAGGCGGAGAGAGAAGCGGCTGCTGCAGGTCGCCGGACTGCTCGTGGCGGCGCTGCTCTTCCTCCCGAACGTCGGCCTCTGGTCGCTCTACCGGGACCGAGTGTTCGACGACCCCGCGCCTGAGGCGGCGGACGGTCCGGGCGGCATCTCCGCGCTGCAGGTAGGCGACGCTTTTCGGTTCGAATCCATTAAAGTATTGCTGTGAGTTGTTTTTAACATCTTTATGAATCTTTTAAAATGAGTTTTGACAGATTTGACCAATGAAACGATTTTCCTTCCAACACAAAGTCCGTTTACCGGCAAAAGAGCCAGAACCGTGGACAGTTTCAGCACCACGGAGAGCTCCTGACAGGCTGAAAACCCCCTGAGAATCTATAAAAATCAAACCTGTTGTTTATTCTAACTAGTGAAAATCTTTTACAGTCGCTTTATTTTCTGGATGAACTGATATCAGTTTTTATTCTGATGTCTGAATTAAATTCACGTTTATTTAACTAAAACATCTGTAATTATGGAAAAGAACAGGACACTTGGTCTGTTTCAAATGTCAGAATTTCAGCTTTTTTGTGGTTTGCTGTCCTTTTCATTCATAATTATAAATAGGAATAAAACAGAACTTGTTGAAATATTTTTCATTAATGTTGTAAAACGTGATAGTAAAGCAGGCGAGGACGGTATTAATCTTAACGCCAGACTTTTGATTTTAAGCTTTTAGAAACCAGCTGCCAGCCTCCTTCCTGTAGCTTGTTTGATGAACTGAAATATAAAACCGAACCGTTTTTAAAATCGGATCCATTAGGAGAATTAAAATGAACCCTGTTAATCAGCCAGTTGTTTTTATTAGAGCTCGTGTTGAATGTGATTTGTGTGTCTAACAGTAAAACCTTGTTAGGATCCGGTTTTGATGTTAAAGTGACTCTGGGTGGAATCTTGCACCCAAACACCGGTTTGCTGTGATTTTACTCCAGCAGGATGCTTCAGCAGCAGCTTTTCTCTGTCGATGACACTTGCATCGATTTCTCTGCTGAATTTGATGTTTCAGCTGAACAGATGAGAAGAACATGTGATTCAGAACTGATCAGACGTTGATTGACTCAGATGTTCTCATTGCAGACGAGACATCACATTTTTGAGTTGATGCACTTTTCTCTGTAGTGATTCAGTGTGAAAAGATGTTTTCTCAACTGTTTCTGCATGTGAAGCAAGTTAATGAACGTTAATTATTAAACACTAAACTAGCCTTCTGACCCCCCCCCCCCCCCCAATGGATGACGTCACCGTTGGGGACATTCGCCAGAACTGATGGAGTAAACGTGAAAGCAGTTTTGAATCATCGGTTTGCTTTAGAGCTTTGTGGTTGCAGCTGGTAAATATTTTAGTGAGTACTCTCCTAAATAATCCATCGATTAATCAAGTACTTAGGTCTAAAAGTTCTGCATCAGTAGTTTCCTGACTTGTACCTGTTAAAAGCTTCCCCCCATACTAAATACAGTGGTGTGAAAAACTATTTGCCCCCTTCCTGATTTCTTATTCTTTTGCAAGTTTGTCACACAAAATGTTTCTGATCATCAAACACATTTAACCATTAGTCAAAGATAACACAAGTAAACACAAAATACAGTTTTGAAATGATGGTTTTTATTATTTAGGGACAGAACTAAATCCAAACCTACATTGCCCTGTGTGAAAAAGTAATTGCCCCCTGTCTTAGCAGCAATAACTGCAATCAAGCGTTTGCGATAACTTGCTACGAGTCTTTTACAGCACTTTGGAGGAATTTTGGCCCACTCATCTTTTCCGAATTGTTGTAATTCTGCTTTATTTGAGGGTGTTCTAGCATGAACCGCCTTTTTAAGGTCATGCCATAGCATCTCAATAGGATTCAGGTCAGGACTTTGACTAGGCCGGACATTGTCCTTCAGGATGTTTTGGTAGACAGTAGAATTCATGGTTCCATTTATCACAGCAAGCCTTCCAGTTCCTGAAGCAGCAAAACAACCCCAGACCATCACACTATCACCACCATATTTTACTGCTGGTGTGATGTTCCTTGTCTGAAATGCTGTGTTCCTTCTACGCCAGATGGAACGGGACATTTGCCTTCCAAAAAGTTCAACTTTTGTCTCATCAGTCCACAAGGTATTATCCCAAAAGTCTTGGCAATCATTGAGATGTTTCTGAGCAAAATTGAGACGAGCCCTAATGTTCTTTTTGCTTAACAGTGGTTTGCGTCTTGGAAATCTGCCATGCAGGCCCTTTTTGCCCAGTCTCTTTCTTATGGTGGAGTCGTGAACCTTAATTGAGGCAAGTGAGGCCTGCAGTTCTTTAGAAGTTGTCCTGGGGTCTTTTGTGACCTCGGATGAGTTGTCTCTGCGCTCTTGGGGTAATTTTGGTCGGCCGCCCACTCCTGGGAAGGTTCACCACTGTTCCATGTTGTCGCCATTTGTGGATAATGGCTCTCACTGAGGTTCGCTGGAGTCCCAAAGCTTTAGAAATGGCTTTATAACCTTTACCAGACTGATGGATCTCAATGACTTTTGTTCTCATCTGTTCTTGAATTTATTTGGATCTTGGCATGGTGTCTAGCTTTTGAGGTGCTTTTGGTCTACTTCTCTGTGTCAGGCAGCTCATATTTCAGTGATTTCTTGATTGAAACAGGTGTGGCAGTAATCAGGCTTGGGGGTGGCTACAGAAATTGAACTCAGGTGTGAAACACCACAGTTGGGTTATTTTTTAACAAGGGGGGCAATTGCTTTTTCACACAGGGCAATGTAGGTTTGGATTTAGTTCTGTCCCTAAATAATAAAAACCATCATTTCAAAAGTGCATTTTGTGTTTACTTGTGTTATCTTCGACTAACGGTTAAACGTGTTTGATGATCAGAAACATTTTGTGAGACAAACATACAAAAAAATAAGAAATCAGGAAGGGGGCAAATAGTTTTTCACACCACTGTATCTACTCTGCCTTTATTTCTGTATTTATTGGAAATTCTCTCTTTTTTCTGAGGAGACAAAGTCTCGACAGGTGTGTAGAGCTGAGTGAGAGACTCACCTGAAACCCTGCCTGAGTCCTGATGTTGGTGGAGTTTGTTAGTAAAGACCGTTACAGACCCCCTTCATTAAACCGGCTTGGATCTGTGACCTTCTGTCTGGGAAAGCTTCTGAATGTGAAGCATTTAAAGTTTGAGGCTAACCGGTGCTAACTGAGGGTATGGTGGGACAGAGATGATTCTGCGTTTCAGCGGTGTGGACGTAGGTCTTGTCGACTCACTATTTTAAAGGAAGACATTAATTGGACCCTCATGGACATACAAAGGCAGTTTGTGTCTGAGATGGTTCTGTTCTGTCAACGAGATAAGGCTTTATGGTGAGTTTGGCATTATTATACATTTCTGAGTCGTCTGACTAAAGTCTTGACCGTGTCTGCAGATGAAGTAAATCCCTGATTGTCGTACATCACTAGCCTGGCACGCCATCCTATAAATGTTAACATCAACGGTCTGGCCTCGACCCATAGACAGAGTCTGAGTCTATGGTTGCCTTTCAAACTGTCTCCACATGCTATTGGACAGCAACGTGACGTACTCAGTGCTGCGGATGTCAGGCATCAGGACGGTCCACCATGTTCTGTAGAAGAAAACACAATTCCATCCTGTTTCTAAACAAAAGACCTAAGTACCTCTGTCTGCTCTTGAATCAAAGAAAAGCCCAATTGTCCAAAGTTGTCAAAGCAGTTTCAAACAAGCCATCACCATTTTTGTAGTTTTTCTCCCTTCACAGCTCTGATGTCTGCTCATCTTTCTACAAGCATAGAGCGCTATGATTGGCTCGACCTAAAACTGTTGGGGCCAATTGTAGACCTGCTGAGGCTAGAACGGTATGGCGGGTTTAGATTTCTGGGCTAATGTATCATTAGAATCACAAGAATCCTAGCGATTGTAATTTCTTCTCCACAAGACTAAACCACAGGCGTAAGAAAATATCGCTCACAAGGCGCCGACTGTGATTGAGGGTCGATAAATTTGTCCAGCCGCCCAACCAGATCATGCTGCACTCCTGCTAGCTGGTTGAAAATTAACCTGTTGATGTTTCAGGTATAACAGGATATTAATTATATTCCTCCAGGTCAGATCAGTGCTTTAGCATCTGAAATGATCAGAAAACTCTTTGTACAAAAGCAGTGAATAGAGCTAGAGCAGGATACGAATTCATCAGGCGGCATTTATTCAGAGGGAAGGTGTTTCCTTTTCTCATAATGTGAGTCTCTAAATCATCAGACACTTTTTGCTTGAAAATCCTCCGAACACTGTAAATCCAAGAGAAAATGAGGGCTTGACTTTCGCCGAGAGATTTCATTTCATCTTTATTTTCACAGATTTTTGCCTCGATGCACAGAAACGTCTCGTGATTCTGACGCTCCGAGTTGGATGTCATTAGGAGGTGAAGCTCTCTGCTGATCTCAGCAGTTTTCAGACAAAGTTTTATTGAATTTCAAGTTGGAGTCGCATGCAAGCTGCTCCTGCTGTTACCATGGCAACCTCACCTCACAGTCACCATCTGGTTTGTTTTTGGACACTTTAGGAGATACAGATTCTCATCTAAACTAAAACATCTGTTTGTCTTTAAGTTTTACCCTGGAATCTCTGATCAGAAAATAGGAGACAAATGAGGAACAGTGAGGAAGAGTGACTAGGAGCCAGGATGACTGACTAGAAGCCAGGAGGAGTGGCTAAAAGCAGGAAAGAGTGACTTGGAACCAAGAGGAGTGACTAGAAACCAAAAGGAGTGATTAGAAGTCAGAAAGTGACTAAAATCTAGAAGGAGTGACTTGGAGCCAAGAGGAGTGACTAGGAGCCTGGAGATGTGGCTAGGAACCAGAAGTGACTAAGAGCAAGGATGAGTGACTAGGAGTCAAGAGGAGTGACTAGGAGCTAGGAGGAGTGACTAGGAGCCAGGAGTAATGACTAGAAGCCAGGTGGAGTGACTTGGAGCCAAGAGGAGTGACTAGAAGACAGGAGTTACTAGGAGCCTGAAGAAGTGACTAGGAGCCAGGAAAAGTGATTAGAAGCCAGGAAGAGTGACTAAGAACCAAGATGAGTGACTAGGAGCTAGGAGGAGAGGCTAGGAGCTATGAGGAGTAACTAAGAGCCAGGAGGAG